GGATATTAGAATGCACTCCATAATTATTGCTGGAGTCTTGCTTGCCGATTCCTTCAAGAAGTGTGGTAAGAAAGCTTTATATCGCAGCTATTTGGCTAATTTCATCTGCAGCTCCCAACTTATTCGAGCGCTTATGTAAGCGTTCATCAAAGCACTCAAATGAGCAGGCCTCATTTGCTTCTACGACCGTCATAGAAAATCCTGCCCCTGCCTTTTTCTCTGACCTCATGAACTTTCAACTCGGCCACTTCAATCCATCGGACAAGCGCTCTTTCATCACTTCAAATGCCTCCTCAACAGAATCTGTAACTGCCCTCGCAGATATTTCTTCACTAGATTTTTCAGGTGTGACTAATTTCAACCGCAACAACACCCATAACAATGCCCATAAAGACCAATTCAAGAAATTCATCTCCATCACGTATGAGGGTTTAGAGGAATCTACAAACCCATAAGCAATAACACTCCTCCTCACTTGAACGCAGTATCCTCAACGATGGATACAAAAAAGCAAAGATGATGACTACACACCACAATACAGCCTTTGCATCAATGACTTTGTCAAGGATAACGATACCCTGCTATGCGATGATATCACTGGTGAAATCACTAGATATATTGTTTGTTTTATTAATGTATTCTTGTTGTATTGTAAAATCATGTATTTTATCAGTGTAATTTATAAGAATTTTGACACCGCATCTTCTCTCATGACTACGTTATAGCTGTATTGTTCACTATAGGTTAGTGGTAGAGAAGCAAATTCCTTTGAGCTTAACAATGACACCCCAGTTACCATCAGCTGAAAGCCTAATTTCTTCTTAAAATCTAGCATTGTATTAGTCTCTGGTCAGTTTTGGTAGAAGATTAATCAGGGATATGTATCAAACGCAGCTGGTAGATGCTGCAATTGTATATTGTTGATAAATCCAGACTCTGCACTTGCAAATTTTCGAAAACCGCGCCTCTATCACATAGCATGTGTATAAGACCCTTGCATGCTGTGAGTTCATTGAGGGATCCACTTTCACCTAAGAAAGCTTTCTGAGAAAAGTGCGTAATACTCCAAAAGTATCTACTACTGTTTTACGACTTGCATCCGCAAGCTGTCCCCGCGTCTGAGATTCATTAGCTGCTCATACAGGCATACCTCGCTCAAAAGCGTCGAGCTAATGAAAAAATTAACATGATAGTATACATCAGTGGGCTTTATGGAGCTTACCCATGTATTTTTACTACACATTTTTGTATGTATTCTGG